GAATCGTTTTAAATAATTGAGTAGTGTTTGAACCTTTATTCCTAATAATCCTGTTCTATCTCTACGTTAATAATAGACTGGTTTAAAGAAGAATGCTGTTTTTAATTACCAGCCATGGATGCAGGGCAGATGATATGAAAATCTGCATTTTCTTCACATAAACTTCTGGCTGAATAATTTTCAATCCCGTTAACATAAACGCGGTCTATTTTACACAAGATTTTGCTGCATGCACACGAAATTATTTTCGCTTGCTAAATTGGCAAAACACCCCAAGAATAAAACTATTTAATTAAATTATTCCACAAATTTCACTTTCATTGCTAGAATTTTTTTTTTTTAATTAACAAAAGTACCATTTTATTATATCAAAATGAACTAACTCAGGTACATTGAAAAAAATAAATCTAAATTAAATAATCTATTTCCCATAAAAGTTAGAGATTATAGATTAGGTAAAATGGATAAGCAATTAATAACGAAATTATTTCCAAAAGGTACGATATACATTATTTGAAATTTAAAAGGAAGCATAAAAAGTTGAACGAATTTACCTGATCATTTATTTTTTTAAATCTTTAATTTTGTTTCCTATTTTTTTTTAAATTGTTGAATTAATTGCAATTTTCTTTTGACAAGGGTGACCTACAAAAGTATTGTGCTGTTTGACGCGATTTTCACATTCGCGATGTTGGGGAACATGTCAAAATAACGAGGTTATATAGGCCAAACGGCTCAAAATTTTTGTAGGCCACCTCTTTTTTTCGATTTTGTGTTCAACTTATCTTCTGTTTCAAGTGGAAAGCCAATTGATCTGTATGAGTTTTTAGTATCTTATACATTTATTAGTTTAATGGGAATATGTCCCATTTCTGTGAATTTTCGTAGATAAAAAAATAGTAGTGTACAATAAAATGATTCACGAAGTTTCGGACGGATGTTAACAAAAGGGATCTGTACCACGAAATAATTATTGAATTATATATTTTAATATATAAATTTTAAGATATTTACAATTTTAAGTAATCGCAATCATGTTAATAAAGATATTAAAGATAAATAAAATAAATATTTTCTAAAATTTTAGTGTCAATTATAGTAATATATTTCTGTTTTTTTTTCAGCTGATATCGAACTCAGATGCAGAAAATCACATCTTTATCTTCAAATATCTGTCAGACTCGAATGACCCTCTGGTAAGTTTTATGTCAATAATTTTTTTTTCTCAGTTTTATAATTATATCAATTTAATACCGCATTATAGACGATTTTTTAAGCTATAGTTCTTATGGTTATATACTTTTACTAATTTAATCTGATCAAAAAAAAAAAAAAATTGAAATAGAGGATTCAATTCTGAAACCAGGGTCACCTTTATATTATAAGTAAGGAACATATCTTATTTGTTTTCGGGGAATCTCCTTTAAAAATAGATTTTATTATAATAATCATCAATCATATCATATTTATAACTTAGAGTTAATACAAAACATAACATTTCATCATATTCCTATGCTTACTTTTCAAATAGCATGAAAGTCTGCGTTTATACAATATAATCATAAGCACAGACTTTCTATTTTGATTGTGGGAAGGTGCGATAGACCAGAGAAAAAGTGGTGGAAGCTTATATTGTGTGTAAAAGTTATGAATGAAGATTAACATTGTTATTGTAAGACGAGATATAATAAAAGGTTTGGACTATATGTATTTCAAAATTTATTTATTTGTCCTCTCTACAATGGCAACCAAGGTTTTTAAATTTCTCTTATGCCGCCATTTTCAAGCCATCTGTAAAGACTTAATGAACAACTAGTTTCTTACAAAATCAACATTTAACTTTAGTGATGTTAATCACAATTTAAATTCAACATTGAATTAATTTTATCCAAATGGGATTGTGCCAATAACTTAATGAATATTATATTAATAAAAATTATAAGTGTTAAGGTAAAGTCAATAAGATAATGGTCCTTAGTGAGTTAGACCTTACCTTAATACCTATATTTTTTATTAATAGAATATTTCAATTCAATTTTTAAAAAATATTTAGCACGTAATTTAACTTATTGACACAATCATATTTGGGATAAGCTTTATTCAATGTTAAATTTAAATGGTGATCAATATCACTATCGCATTATGTCAAATGTTGATTTTGTAAGAAACTAACTGTTAATTAAGTCTTTACTGGTGGCTTGAAAACGGCCGTGTAAGCCGAAACGTTACGAATTTCGGAAAGAACAAATGAAGAAATGGTGAAATTCATATAGCCAAAATATTTTTTTATGAATTATATTTTCACCTTTAACAAAAATGTATAGAAATAGATATAATACTACATATTTTAAAAATAAATTGATATTAATATTTAATATCTCTGTATTTTTTTCTTTACCTCGATTGGATATATGTTATATTTAGGTGGAAATTTGAAGATCTTTTCGAGGTAATTTAATAATTATATTTTATTTTACTGTCTATTTTTTTACATTTAGTTTTATTTGTTATTATTTACGCCTACTGTCAATCTAGTATATAGTAATAGAAAATATGTCGCATATTCATATCAAATGTCATTACGTTAATGTATGTTAAATTTGCGAATAAATTTTTATTTTATTTTTTTTACTCTAAATAATGTATGCAAGTCGCTCTTCTCAAGAACCTCTCACGTGACACTCCTCGCCTCTTTTCTGTTTTTCCTTTTACTTTTTCCTGTACTTAATGTGCTAATTTTAAATAACTAAAGTTCAATAACCGTAAACAACTTTAACCTTAACGTGCATTTTACGTTTTTTTTTTTTTTTAATTTTATTTTATTCCTATTATTCACTACCAGAAGATATAATAATATAGTAATATTTTAATTAACGTCGTTGATGGCCAACTGGTTTTACGCCTTTACTATACAACAACCAACCAACCAATACTCTCTTAGAATACGAACCTTCGATCCTGGGTTTTTCTACACGTTAAAACAAAAATGTATCGAAATTAAAGGATAGGTAATCGTAATCTGAATATCTAAAAAAAAAAACGAACAGCTCATTAGTTAAATGAGATGTCCATCGTATGCGTTAAAAAAAAAAACTTGTTTCCTCTCCAGGAAAAAATATATAAAATAATGGATTACACCATTCTTTCCATTCCAGTCATCGAAATTTTCGAATTCCTTTTAACGATTTTGAAACTTCAACCTTATGGATTTTCGATCTAACTCAGGATATAAAGATTTCTTGAAGGATAAACATAAAATTATGAGGGATCGTCTTTACATTATTAAGGGTGTTCTTTACATATATTAAAGTTATATAATAATATTTTAAAGTAGGCTTATTAGTTTGTTAAAATAACATCAAGATAGAGTTAAGCTTTGGACAAACATACAGATAGAATTGATGTTTTATTTATTTTTTAATTTAGTCAGTATTATCTGTAGATGACTCCCAAACAAAATTAGAATAATCCACCTATTACATGAGCTTCTCTAAATAACTTATATCTTTATACGTATTTTTTTTTAAATAATCTATCGATCTACGATCTACAATCTTATAAAAAATATATACCATAATAATCAAGAATGAATGTAATAATAATTAATAATACACACACACACACACACATGTATATATATATATATATATATATATATATATATATATATTTTTTTTTTTTTTTTTTTGAGTAGGAAGCAATAACTTAAAGACTATTCAATTTAAGTAATACAGTTTTTCTTTGTTAAAATCAGTTTAAGAGGACTTTGGAGCGGCTTAACTAAGCTAAGTTTTGTTTTTAAAAAAAATAAATTATTCGCGATTTTTTTTATCATCATCGAACTATACTTTAATAAGGTTTAAGTTCATATCGATTAAGTTGAAGTTTATTAGGGAAAAACTTGAGATTCACTTCAAGTTGCGTAAAAAAAAAAATATGTGAATTTAAATTCTCTTAACCTGAAATTATCCGAGTTTTTAAAAAAAATGACAATAATAAATTACTGCAAAGCTTTAACTAATTTATTTTTTTCGATGAACTGTGATGTATAATATTAAATATAAATGCGTAAACACACTTTTTATTAAAAAAAAAAAAAATGTAGAGTAACAATCTTTATTGTAAAAAGTAAAATGGACAGTCTGCTTATCATACAATATATATATATATATATATATATATATATATATATATATATATATATAATTGAACAAAAAAGATAAAAATCTTGTATGTCGCCATTCAGTATTTGGTTTATCAATATCGGTTAATTTTCGGTTTTTCAAGTAGCCCGCTCGGCCACCCCGCCCCTATATACAATTACATTTCTGCGCCTTGTTCCATGTTTTTCCCCTTGTTATCTGGTTTGAAAGTTCTTCCAAATTGAAATCCGATAAAAATATGGTTTTGTTAAAAAATTCATAACCACATTAAAAAGGGCTCTCTGCAAAAAGTTAAATGGCGTAACTTGCACCAGGCAACCCCTTCTAGACACCCCCGTGCTGCCCATGCTTTTGTCGCTATGGTAGATTCCTCAGAATTGTGTAGATTGTTATCGGACTGCATTACATGTTGGTTTACTATTGTGTTTATATTTATATAGTTTATTTTTATAAATACGAAAGCAGTTGAGGTAAAAATTATCGAAAAAGAAAATTAACTCAAAAGAACAATATACAAAAATGTATTGATTCGATAAACATAAATAATTACTAAACTTAGGCATGTTCAATCCATTCCTCTGGTTTTAGTTCAATAATACAATTGATTGTTCATTAACACAGATATCGGATTAGTTTGGGAAGAATGGAGGGTTTTAGTTTACTAAAAATCAAAGAAATAAACAATGAATGGATTTGTTTGGATTAGCATACTATGAGTTTGTTTGAGAGCACATGTAATTTAAGATATGTAGCAACCCTTTCACTCGTGTATGTTACGACCGACGGAAGGATCCGTTCCTTCCGGAAAAAAAGTATCCTTACAAAAGGGCGGCGAAGATGATCCGCTGGTGGGGGGCCCATGGTGGGGAGGAGCTGGACCAGCGATCGCCAGTCTGTGCCAAGATGGGTGATGGCAACATGCTTATGTGTCGGCAGTGGTGGCGGGTTTGCTGGGTCTACGGCGACCAAGAGAAGTACTACCGGGCCTTGTATGGAAGGAAACGTACCGTCAACGGGACGCAGACGGCTGCCGTCCAGACTACAGCTGTACTCACCATGACAACCCATCAACTCTACCTCTCCAGGACAGAGTGAGTACCCATTGGCAGTTGCTCCCTGGTGTTGGAGTTCCTCTGGAAGCAAGTTTTATTTCGTGTTCATAACCTAGTGTTCGTTATCTGTGCATGTTCTTCGACCGAAAGTGATCGGTATTGTCTTTAAAATGCACTGAACAGGTGTCGTTGAGTGTTATTGATGGATAGGTTGTCATGTGATTAGCGTTTCCCTTCCGATCTCTGTTCCTATAACACATCTTTACGATGATACAGTGTTCCAACTATTCATTGATCCAGGATTTCACCATATCATCGAAAATTTTAATCAATAATAACTTTTTATTATTCTGTTTTAATCCTCTTCTATCTGCATATAATTCCTCAAAGCAATACCGCTTCCAGCTAATGTTTTTTGTCATAACCCATTTCATGTTTGCTTTAATAAAAAAAATAAAATTAAAAAATTAAAACAGTAAAAAGCAAGTACTTTTCTAATTCGAACTGGGTTATTAAAAGTGGTTAACCAATTATAAAATTATTTCTAATCCGGCGTAACGCATCCTTAAAAATTGGTCTTGCAATTGGCAGATACCAAGGGTCGCGCTACCTTATGCAGATTTACTGAGGAATTAAAACTCTTTTCCAACATTAGTATTTATTTTAAAATTATTTTTAATCAAACTTAATTAAACAAATGTTAATCAAGGCCCCTTAATTATTTTTAATAATTAATAATTGATGTTATCATAACTTTGTTCTCATAAATTAAACTAATAAGATTTATTATAATTCCAATTATATATATATATATATATATATATATATATATATATATATATAATAATATTTTTTTCTATATTAGATCTGTCATGGGCGTATACAATGCTGAAATATTATTATAATATATTAAATTTATTGAATAAATTAGATTCATTACAAAAATTAAATTAAAACAATTCAATATTTCAATTAAAATATCAACCACACTGGCGAAATAATTACTAAAAAAACATTATATGCACCGACGGAATAAAGAAATATCTTTTACCTTTTTGTGCGTGTTGATAATGATCTGAATACATCTTCATTAAGTTTAGAATATTATCATATCGGTATCATAATTAATCCCGACTTGTGTTTAAAGTGGAAAAAAAAAATGAAATGAGAGATTCTAGTTATGAGAACTGGAGTTTCATGCGTGAGCGCTTAAACCTGTTCCAAGGTTTTAAAATAGTCACAAGTGAAGTAGTTTGATCGGTCCGACCTGGCTTCTGCAACTTGAGTGTAATAACATGAGTTGCCTATTTTCTTATGTCTTCTCGGGCCCATATTTTATGAATAAAAAAAAAAAGGAAAAGAAAATATTTCGAAAAAACGGGATGAAAATGCGTGTAGATTGTTGATAGCTTCGTAAAGTGTCAAATTATGATAATATTTATATTTGTATGCTAGTATTTAATAGCCTACATTGAGAAATTGATCATTTTTAACTTCAATGACTATAACATCGTCCGCATTATTGGGGGATTTTTTTACTTATTGGGGGTGAAAGAAAGAAGTTTTTCTATTTGACTTTAAATAGCGCTGGAAAATTTTTATATACGGAATACACTTTTTCCTTTTTGTTTATAAGTATCTGAATATATATATGTATATATATATATATTTATAAAGAAGTAATCAGAATAAACGATCCAACAAAACTCATGGATTTAATTTTTTTTTTATGAACATAATTTTTAGAAAGTAACAAGCAGAAAATAATAAATATACGTTTTTATCATGCCTAGGAATTAAAAGTTAAATGATTTTCTGTTTGTCGATGAAATGAAAGTGGTTTCAGAATAATTTTGAAAATTTGAACAAGTAATTCGGAAATGCTAAAAATCGAGTTATTTGAGATAACATTTCCGCATTTTTACTTCTATTTACTGAATATTGTAAACATTTAATGATGGGCTCTTGAAGAAAAAAATAATCCAGAATCCCTATATATATATATATATAACTTTTTGTGTCATTTCCAAAATAATAATATTAAGATATTTTAAATTTCCAGCTCTTTTTGTGGCTTTCCGCTTAATCCGCCCCTGACTGCATAGAAACGAGAATGCAGGACGTTTTAGGAATGAAATATTCAAATGTTTTGTTTTTCATACATACGAAATCTACATAACCAATAAATTTATTAATTACACTTTAGTATTGTATTATTTTGAGAAAGATTCTATCTCTTAACTCTCTATGTTACGTTTCTATAGCGATCAGTTTTTCCGAATCTTTGCCTTGAATTGGATGATTATTAAAAGTAAAGATATTTCTTTGGAATATGAAATTCGTTTTATTGTTCTGTATTTGTGGTGAACAGGAATAGAAAATAGACACTGTACTCTGAGGGATGGATTTTTTAAATTCATGAAGATTTCGTCCTCTAAAAGTAGCCATGCATCTCCCAAGAGCTTCACATTATATGTTCGGTATTCGCATAGGTTACAGTAAAAAATAATGAGTTCAAATGTTTGTGGAATTTATCCGATACAGTTACATAAAGTTAAAAACAGTTACAGTAAATTAAAAAAAAAAAAAAAAGATTGATAGGATGACCCACGTTCATTCAACAATACACTTGAAATAAACTCATGTCAATATATATATATATATATATATATATATATATATATATATATATATATATATATATATATATATATATACATTTAACATACTTATATATACAGGGTGCCCCGTAAGTAAAGGGAAATATTTAAATAGGTGATAAGATACCTCAAGAGTCACAAAAAAACTTCACAAAAACGATCTTTCGATTTTCCGCGGAAAAGCAGGAAATTAAAGTTTTGTCCTTTTTTTATGTGTTTAATTTTTGGTTTTTAAATGGGAAGTGATAAAATATTTAATTTAAGCAATTATCAATTTTCCATAGTTTACTAGTTAATATTTCTTCCGAATGCACGTAGAGTTTATGTTTGTTAAAATCATATAAGGGGACTATTGAGTGTTTTTTCATAAAAAGTTCTGTTTTTCATAAAATTATGGATCATTCGTGATGTTTTTATATCAACCTCCAACTGGACAACATTTTTGCAAAACCTTCCTTGTTTTATAAGCTTGAAGTCCGTATTAATTAAGTAGAGGTTTGTCACCAAATAAGTTTAGCTTCACCTCTTGTTGTGTGAAAAAAAATTATGTGATTTGATATCACCCAACAGTACCTGTGTTTTCAGTGAAACAATTATAGATTATTACAAAGCTTTTTTTGTGTCCCTAATCGAGACAGATTGTGATATTTATCAATAAACAAGTAAGTGAAAAAAATATTTTCTTTTATTACTGTGACGTGGATTGTATTATAATAACGATTAAATACGATTATACACTTTTTATCATCCTGGTTGAAAATGAATCAGTGTTTTTATCACGGATCTCTTTTATGTGAATTGATCCTTATTTGATAGGGGACCAATTAAATGTCCGTAGTCCTAAATTTTACCTTAAAATGATTCTAGCAAGGTGTACATATATTTATGCTTCTCAAATAATAGGTAATTAAAAATATGATTATTTTGGATAATTCCAAGTACAATATTTGTAACAGACGTCGTATTTAATTTTTAAAAAGTAACCAAACTTAAGTTTCTAAAAAGTTTTTTTCCCTCTGCTGATAGTTTTTTTTTTTAAATACAGTTTTGTATTGAGAAATTTATTCAGTATGACTTCCATTGGCGCAGACTTTCTATTTCGATTGGGTGGGCGAAGCACCAAAAAAACAACAACAAAAAACAAACAATAGTTGTTATTATGAGTAAAAATTCAACTTAATTACTGTGAAACGATCAAATATAATATTGGATATTTAAAAATAAATTTATATATTTGTTTTGAAGTTGTAGAATATTTGTTTAAGTGCGTATGGATATACTTGATAATATCCGAATAAAATAATTGGATTTATTACAATTCGTATAGATTAGACATAGAAGGAAGGTAGATATATTTTTTCTAACTTTATCATAGAAAATTTATAAGAAAATTACGTGGGAATGGAGGTGTACACATGAGAGGTGGATGAATCATAAAATCCTAGGAAATGTTCCTAGATAATCATCCCTGAATTGAAATGAAAATTTAAATAATTGGAATATTTATGTCCTGATAAAATAGTTTCGTACCTACTTATAGGTCTTAGCCCTGCCAGAATTTTCTTAATCGATTTTAGTTTACATAATTTATTCATTGATGTATTTTATACGTTACCAATTTTTTTTTTTACTTCAAATTATTGGAGGGTCGAAACGATATTCTTGCCCCCTCAACATTTTTATATGGGGGCTGATCTTTCCTCTCACCCCCCTCCTCCTGATGATCACTTCCATAGCAATATGCAAAATACATAGCGTACGCGTGTATTGGATTGTAAGCCATAGTTCTTTTTCTGTAGTTACAACTGTATCCTCGCTGACTTCAATTCCTTGGCGATAGAAGATCCAAGAGATAACCTGGGACCTGAGGCCGCTATGACATAGAACACGTACGTTTTATTCGGTACACGTTTGGGAGTATTTTGAATGAGCTTTCTTCTTGATATTTAAGTTCTCTTATTCCATGCCAGTCCACGTCACCACGACGTTGCCCAATGATCCTTATCTCGATAAACATGTTCCCCGATTTGTTGATATAATAACGGAGTATTCCAGATAGCCTTTGACATTGAATAGGCGTAGAGTTAATTATTAATATGAAAGAAAGTGAAAAAGTTTAAAAATAAACAAGAATTTTCAATAAGACAATCGAACATCTTTCTTGCGATGAATATAAAAAAAAAATCTGGTGTGTCCACTCACACGACTTTTCTACCTATTTCAGGAAAGTTTTTATATCTTTATATATGTCCATCAAGAAACAACAAAAATTGAATTAGATTTATTTTCCTTTCAATTGAGCAAAGAAAAGATTTGAGTACGATTTATTTGATGAACTAAAGCAATGTAAACCGGCTTAAAGTAGATCAGTGTGAAAAT